TTTTAGCTCTGACAGAGTTGACGCTAAGCTGCTCTTTCTAACAATAATTAGCCAGCAGGTTCAGCTGCTTCTTTTATAGTATTGTTTACTGCAAAACATTACAAAAACATTGACAACACTCAAAATAAAAGAAAGAAAAATCCACCCAAAATTCTGCCATCCTACAAACCAAACTGTTTACATTTTTTTTTCATGCTCCCTTTCACAGTCCCTGTCCATATGCAGACAGAATTTTTACAGTTGTAATCACAGCACAGATACAATCTTGTAGTCAGATTTGTCTCAATTAGAGTTCTTAAAGCGTTTTTCCAGTTCACTCTTTCATCTTCATTTCTACTACTAGGAACACTTCACCCCACCATTTTTAGCGACCTCCATGGGATCCTAAGTGTTGAGGAAGGCTGAAAAAGAATAATTCACAGAATTGGGGGAAGGGTTAAGTTCCCACTTGTAAAGAATGGGGTCACTAGAATTAAACTCATGTGGAAAGGATTTCTTTATTTCCCCCTTTGTTCCCATAGCTGGAAACCTTTATGAAAGCAGCTGCATTTCCCCACCATCAAGCATGATTTTGTCATCTTCATAAAGAGCCCTCACAGGTATTTCCTCTTTACGTAGTTTGTTTTTAAGGCCTGCTCAGTATTTAGGATTTAGGCATATTTAGGCATCTTTTCTTCCACCTGCTATAACAATTTATGTAACTTGGAATTTTTAAGTGTGGCTACTACTTCGTGCTGTATCCATGTGAACGTGAAGTGGTGTACTCAGCTGTCAAAATGTTGGATACCTGGATGCATCTTTTTACATGTTAGCTTGTATTCTTCAGTCTCCGGTTTCCATACCAGACTGTATATCAGACTCCTTCGGGGGTAGGGAGCCAGTAAAAAAAAAAAAAATATATATATATATATATATATACTGGAGTGGGCTACCGTTTCCTTCTCCAGGGGATCTTCCTGACCCAGGGATCGAACCCAGGTCTCCTGCACTGCAGGCAGACGCTTTAACCTCTGAGCCACCAGGGAAGCCCATATATATATAGATAGATATAGACAGACTCCAGGGTTCACCCTTGCTCAGATGAAGCAGAATCTCTGGTGCTGTCTATGGACTGATGTTTGTAACATTGTACATTCAAACTATCAAAAAGTCTCTTTCTTGATAACAGCTCTGTCTGTTATAGTTTGTGTCACCGTTACAGTTTAGTGACTGTAGCGGATGGAAGAGAAAAGAACTGTAAGGATTTGGAGAAGGAATGGAAGAAGCATGTGGCTCACAGAAGCTTTGTTTAAATGGTCTTTGAGTTAGGCAGACCCAAAACGTGAATCACCAGCTCTGATAACCTGGTGAGTGGGTGAAGCCTCCATCCTCGATACACAATCCTGGAACCCTGAGGGGGCGATGGCCACAAAGGTGGGGGGCATGTCTGGTAGAGATAATGCTGAGGCAGTGTGTAACAAATCTTTTTTTTTTTTTTAATGAGAATGTTTTGACCCTGGAAAACTCTCACTTTCATTAATAATCCTATGTTCTATATTGTTTCAACTTTTATAAGCATGGATTTATGCATTATCGGCTAATTTCTGACTTACTAACAAGGGGCAATTTTGTCCCTGGGGGATATTTAGCAATGCCTTGAGTTATTTTTGGTTGTCATAGCTGGGAGAAGAGAGTACCCCTAGCATCCAGTGGGTAGAGGCCAGGATGCTGTTTAATATCTTACAGTGGCACAGGACAGCCCCTGCCCCCCAACAATTATCCAGCCCCAAATGTCAACAGTGCTGAGGCTGAGCCCCATGCTGCAGCATGCAGTGTTAGGCAATGAACAGCATGTAGGAAATAAACAGGAGAAGCTCATAAAAAAAGCCAGATCGGGGGAGGCCTTACAGTTTATGCCAAGGATCTTTTTTTACCGTGGATGATGGAGAGCCAACAAAAGGAAATTACCTGATCAGATCTGGATTTTAAAGATATCGCTCTGAAGGGTAAATCAGAGGAGGCCATTACTGGAGGCAGAGAAAGCCCTTAGGATGCTGTTGGAAAAGCCCAGAGAAGAATGTGAGAGCCTGGACAAGACAGAGCCAGAGGGATCCAGAGGGAGAACGGAGTCAACCAACACATCTCGAGGATGCAAAAGTCAGCAGAGCTCAGGAACTGCGTGGATATGGGAAGGGCAGGGAGGACTCCAGGGCAACTCCCAGGCTTCTAGTTGATTATTGGATGGATGATGGTTAGATATGGAAAGAGATTCATGGAGGAAAAAATAACATAGCTAGATAAAAGTTTCACAGTCTGTTATTCTCTGGAGGAGATAAAATAAATAACAGGATCTACTCATTCAACAAATATTTTAATAGCAATTATCTGTAGAAAATAATTTATACATACAGCTGGTTAGCTCCTTACGCAAGCAAGCGATTAGACTGAGACTTAGTCTTTCAATTTGAGAAAAAAATGTGTGATGTTATTTTGAGGAAGTATCTAAGAGACTCAATGGTTCTGTAATTTTGGGAGATGGAGGGTTTCCCTTTTTAAATCTAGAGTCAACTACACTTAGAGATCATCTTGAGGAAACCATACCTGTGGAGTTAATTGAGGTAAATAAGCTGGCAAGGACTTCAGCCAACTACTCAAGAAGATCAAAATAATTCTGGCCGCAGAAATTCTCTTCTGGAGCTCTCTTCAGCCTTGAAAGACTGGGTTTTGTTTAGAGTTGATGAAAGTAATGGGTTCTGGCTATGGAGAATACTGGGGACAACAAAATGCAGAGAGGCAAAGTAGAAATTGAAATGATATGTTTAGTAATCAATCCATGCACATGATTCTGAATTTCTTCATCCTGAAGTGATACCAAAGAAGATCAAGTTCCCAAATGTGCTATGTTGGTATCCCTGTGGTCAAGCCCTGAATATTCCAGAATAATTTAAGTTTTGGAAAGGACAGGTTGTTTTTTAAAAGAACTGCAACCTAACGAGTCTTTAGATAACTCGATCTCAGTTATATTTAAGATGGCATCTTGATAATATGGCCTAGAGCTTTCCATTTCTTTCTGATCTCTCTTATAAAGCAAGAAATAAAAGATCTTGTTCTTGAATAGTCCAGCAACATAGCAGTATCACCACAATTTGTTAATATTATGAATAGTTAGTCATGAAGACTTCCTGAATAAAATATGTGCCATAAATTCTTTGTTATCATACATTTATTTTTTCACTTCAGTTTAACTTCGTTCCTAAAAATCTCCCTGATTGAGTTACATTTAGGGACAGTTGCAAGGACATTTTGAAAGTTCAGATTAAGTTTAAGAGAAAAATATTTACTTTCAACCAGTCTAAAACACCCAAGTCAAGCTTGTAGATAAGCCCTGAAGAGCTGATTCTTCAATCATCAATAATGCTGCCTCTGGTTGGAAAAGCAAGTGGAAGTCCCACAGCCTGCCATTTACCATTATTGGAACTATGATTATAAATGTGTTTGACCAGATATTTTCCTCTTTGATTCAGACAGTTTACTCTTAGAGAAGTGCCTTAAAAGGAAGAATCAGACAATTGTAGGGTTCTGATGGATGTAGCTCTGATGGACCCGCTGCCAATCCTGGCATTCACATCTCTTGAAGTTATGTCAGCTAATGAATACTTAGAAAACATAAAGTTCAGAAGGCTGTCAAATTACTGTACAATTTAAAGTACTAGTGTGCACACTGTAGGAAAAAATGTACATATTAGGACCTTGATCAGCCTTGTGAGGACCTGGAGTAGTAAAATTCCATACAGTCCATGACTGTCATTTTTATTCAGTAGATGCCACCCAGGTGCTGACCGCCATGAGCAAAGTTTCCATAACAATCCATTTCATCTCTCCAGCGATCCTTTGAAATAGTCATTATAGTGTCTCATTTAGAGTCAAAGAAAGAGACTTACAGTTCAAAGTCATCTTTCTAATAACTGGTGAAGCCACGATTTAATCCAGGTCTTCTGATAACAAATCTACGTTTGGGCCATTACCCCACTCTACCTCTTACAAGCCCTAAAAGCACAGGAGTGTGAGTTCATCATCTCTCTTCTCCCTTCCCAATTTAGCTCCTTCTATTGGAAAGTCACCATCTCTCCGTCCCCTTCCTGTAAGGCCAATCAACTGTCAATTCTCCTATTTTTGAGGGCTCCTAAATTACCTTCAAAACCCTAGCTATTCAGTGTGGCTATGAACCAGCATCACTGGCACCCACCCAGGATCTTACTGTAAAACCCAGCACTCCAGACCCACCTGGACCTACTGAACCTGCATTTTTATAAGATCCCCAGAGAACTCAGGTGCACGTTGAGGTTTGAAAGCACATCTCTCGTCTAAGTGAGAGGCTCCTCTCCATTCCTACTACCACAGTTAATTCACCAGCCTCTGAGTGCCTCTGATCCAGAGTGTTTAGCAATCCCCTAACGACTCTCTTCCCTCTTTGGGTCTCACCCTAATCCCTCACTTCCCAATTCCTATTCATAAACCAGAAACACACTGACTTTCCTAAAGTAAAGACTGGGCCACTGTCCCCAGCTCCCAACTCAAAACCTTTCACCTGTTCCTCAGGGCCAGTGCAAAATAACAATACAGGTACATCCCTTGTGCCACATATTTCATCAGACCTCTAACTTGTTCACTCCTCACATCAACCCTGTGAAACTGAGACATCATTAGCTCCATCTTAGAGATGAGAAGACTGAGCGAGGTGAAGTAACGTGGCAAAGGTCAGGAGGCCGGCAAACGGTAGAACCAGTATCAAGTCTTCAACAAACTCCTTAGCTGGGCCTCAAGTGTCCTCCACAGGCACAGGAAAAAGGAAGGGAATTTATACAGTATTACTCAGCCACGAAAAGCGATGAGCTGGGGTCAGTTACCGTGCTGCGGAAGCACCTCGAGCCTGCTCCAGAGTAAAGTAAGAAAGAGGAAAATAAAGATCACACACGGAGGCGTGTGCAAGCGACCTAGAGAAGCGGTCCTGCTAAGCCTACCCGCAGGGAAGGAGACGCGGACACAGGAGACAGCGCGCACGGGCTCGTGGACACAGCTGAGGGAGGGGGGGTGAGACCGCCGAGAAGGCAGCATCGGCATCGGCATCGGCGCCGCCCGGGGCGCGGACAGCGCGCGGGACGCCGCTGGCTGACACAGGGGCCCCGCTCGGCGCTCTGGCGGCCGGGGCGCGGGCGCCAGAGCGGGCGCGGGGAGGCGCACGTCGCTAGGACTGGCTGGGCTGTACCGCAGCCACCAGCACAGCACTGTAAAACAATTATTCTCCGATTTAAAATTTTTTTTTAATTTTTTTTTTAAAAGGAAGGGAGGGTCTTGGTCCAAGTATCCACTTTTTGCCGGGAACTTGGCTAAGAATTTCCTCTGGATTATACAATTTAAACCTCACAACAACCCTGTAGCCAGGTTCTGATGCTATTATTCCAATTTTTACAGGTCAAACTAGGAAAGAGAAACCTGAACCAAAGTTCAGTTAACTCCAAGCCAATATTATTACCGCAATATAGCACCACTGTTCCTTCCACCTAGAAGGTGCTCCCTGCATCTAAGGCCCTAACTTGACTGCCTTTGAGGCCAGTTCAAATTTTAGGCACAAATTTTCCTCTTTTCCTCTACTCTTTCCCTCCTCTGAAATCTTAACAGCTCTTTACCTCCAATTTTCTTTTGGCATGACTTCTATCTTCTGTTATGGTTATTACAGTTACTTCTGTATGTGTATAAATACATACATGTATGAACTGTGATTCAGTAATTGTGATTATTGCTCCCAAACTGTCCAAAGATTGATCTAAGGAGACAAATGAAATTAAAGCCCTTATATTATGACAATTTAACAAGAATTCATGAACAGGAAAAAATACAAATATGATAACTGAGACTTGAAACATGAATTATTATCCTGGATATGACAGAATTTGAGAAGCAGACAAAAGTTAACATTTACCACTTAATTTCTTCCTATAAAATCAAGAAAAACCCTGTTATGAGTTGATTTTCCTGCAAGATGTTTTCTGGATTTTTCCACCAGCTCATTAGTTATTTTTCTGTCACTTTGCTTACATCTTTCATTCTATTTTATTTTTCTTGACAGCCATTATCTGTTATAAACATCATTTCAGATAGCTCCATTTTGATAATAGTTCCAAAATTACCTCAATATAATTCCAACCTTTTCTTACTACCTGGCATACATCATCCCACAAATAGCTCACTTTAAATTAAATGGAATATAAAGGGAAAGGAGAGAAGACTTGGCTTAAATATTCTTTTAAGGACTCCTATTATGATAATTCCTATAACAGTAATAACCCATTGGCAAGTAAGTTTCAAAGTTTACCAGTCCACTTATTTCCCAAGGGACATGTCACATACTATATTGTCAGCCATATAATAAAATTTATATATTTTACTATTCGTTATTATTACTGATCCCTAGTAAAGAGCTTTATAATCTATAGCTGAATACAATTTTATAGTTCACTAAGTATTTTCATATTGACCAAGAAAACTTTCATTTCCTCTTTGACTGATGCTGATGACTCCCACATCTAAATAAAGGTCAGTGAGCACTATTACAATAATTCTTTTTTCTACTGTGCTTCAGAAAGCAGGGATCTAAAATGTATTTCCAAAAACATTTTAAAATTCACTTTTAAACGGGGATAGGGTCTTCCCTTGTGGTCCATTGGTAAACAATCTGCCTTGCAATGCAGGGAGTGGGGATTCGATTCCTGGTGGGGGACCAAGACCCCACATGCCACAGAGCAACTAAGCCTGCAGGACGTGACACAGTCAAGAAAATAAACCAATTCAATTTTTTAAAAAGAGAGGGGGATACAGTATGCAGATGTTGACCTGAATCCTTTCTGGATAGAGCATCTCCCACTGGTTTCCAAAGAATACCCTGTAGGACAAAGTGCAAATTATTGAAATCAAAGGAATGTCCAAAATTCCAAAACAAACTTCACACGTAAATTGTTCTTATATTTGATTCAAAAGAGAATTGAAACTAAGTGGAAGTCTCATTATACTTACGTTGCTATGAACTCAAAAGTGCCTTGGAGTTTACATATTTTTTGAATTTATATAACTTAACAGCACTAGACTATACATTCCATGAGGGAAGGTACCTCAACTCATCTGTTCATGACAGATTTTTCCAGCACCTGGCATAGTGTTACAATATGTGCATAATAAATACTTGTTGAGCAAATGAATACACTCCCTTCGTTATGCTGACGATGAAATGGAGGCCAAAGTAGTTGAATGACCTAACCAAAGTCACACAGTAACTTTGAAGCTGTCCCAGCACTTAGGACTTCAGTCTATAACCCCTGGTTTGGTATCATTTCTGCTCATTTCAACACTAAGCAAATGGAGATGTTGAGGTGGAGATGAAATGAATGAAAAGTGAAAATAAAATAGAAGCCTGGAGACTATTTTAAAACATCTCATCAGAAGCCAAAAATAAAACTACCCATAAGATTGGGAAGTTAGTGTTAGTCGCTCAGTTGTGTCCGACTCTTTGCAACCCCATGGACTGTAGCCCACCAGGCTCCTCTGTCCATGGAATTCTCCAGGTGAGAACACTGGAGTGGGTAGCCATTCTTTCTCCAGGGGATCTTCCTGATTCAGGGATCGAGCCTGGGTCTCCCTCATTGCAGGCAGATTCTTTACCATCTGAGCTACCTGGAAAGCCCAAAAATTAGGAAGGGAGTATGCCAAAAAAAAAAAAAAAAAGTTTTAATTAAAAACTCTTCCAAGAATAAACAAACAAAACTCCCACCTTGTCTGATTGATGGCCACAACAATTACAGAGGTTTAGAAAAGAAAACCAACACAGGTTTTAATCTTAGAAAATTAGCCCTTTTCAGGAAAGCAAAGAAGCACATAAAACAGAGCAGGTTAGCCATAAACTGAAAACTAGACCAAATACAATTTGAAAAATACTTTGAAAAGGACTCCAAAGGCAATAAAATACTTTCAATACACATTTTTAAGTGAGCTGAAGACTCTGTAACAATTTAATGATCAGTGTCTAAAAGAGGTACACTCAAGGGAAAAGATCAGATAGCAACTGAGTAAATGAATCACTCTTCTCAGACTTTGTGGGAAAAAAATTGCTAGAGGGGAGATTCATGCATTATAAATGTGTTTTGTAACATACAAATCAGGTCTACTATAGCAAATAGTGAAATTTCTTATTAAAATGCTGCTAAACATCATCAAGTATCATAATACAGTAGATTATGTCTAGGTATATGTTTCTGACTACTGTTGTTAAAAAAATAAAATAGAACTGGGCTAGAACAAGAAAAAATGAAAGTGGAACTAATGGTCGAGGAGATTATGGAATTAACATAGATGATCAAGGCAGAATTTATGCTCTTGAGATTTGTATTTAACCTAGGAATTACACAATCTCTTTGGGCAATCTATTCCAGTGAATGTGGCCACTATTTTACTGAACCCTTAATCATAGCATTGTGCTAATCACTTTATTTCATTATCTCATTTAAACTTCGAAATAATAGGAGGATGTTGGTATTATTACCCCTACAGATAAACAGACTGAGGTTTAGATAGGTTAAGTAGTTTGTCCTATATAACACAGCAAATAAATGCCTGGATATGAACCAAGACTGGTCAACTTCTATACCAAGATTTACCACCATGTCACACTGCTTCACCCTTACCCATTCTTTATTTGTTTCCCCCTACATTCAGTAGCTGAATTGGTTTGCCCAGGTTTCACCATGATGTAACACATTAAACAGCCAGGTTTCTAAATATGTGCAGGAGGGACCTTGTCATATTTGACTTCGTGTCTCCAAAGCCTAACTATCCCTTAGCACAAGGTAAATGTTCAGTAGGTGCTTGATAAATTGAAATGAGTTGGATAAATATAATGAACATTGTAGTACCATAGCAAATTTCTGACAAGAAATACAGTTGATTATGTCTACGTATAGAAAGCCTATACATTAAAAATTGAGATTTAATGCAACAGATAAAGGTTAGACTTTCCTACATATCAACATGTTGGCTCTGACATAAAGAAACAGCCACTGTAGTTATAGGTATCTGTCAGTGGATCACAGAAAAATCAGTGCATTAGGCAGACTTTCATGATGCAAACAATAAGATTGACACTGGCTATTGAAAAAAAGAGAGAGAGAATTCATTGAAAACGACTGGGTACTTAACAGAATCAACCCAAAGACTGAAGAACTAAGGTCAAAATACAAGCAAAAATCAGGAAAATATAGGTGACCAGAACCACTGACAAGGTCAGATGCCAGGAACAGCCTGAACTTTGGGGGGCATGGCTGGACTGCCACCAGCTACAGCTTAGGGAACTCCACTAAACTTCTGACACAGCCATCAGTGGGGACAGCAGCCACCACCACAAGAAATGTTAAACTGTCCGTCTCTTTAGGTCATTCACCACAGACTGAAATTCCGGAGCAGGAGATTATGGCTAAAGTTAGCCAGCTTTTTTTTTTTCCTGCAAGACAGAAGAAAATAACTGACATTTTTGGCCTCCATATGGGTGGACCCTGCTTCTCCCCAAGTCTACACAAGATTTCACAAACACAGAAAGTGAATTTGAATGCTGGGTGACAAAGGAAAGATATGCATTTACTATAGAACTACCGTCTGAGAACCTTCTAGCTAAGGGGGTCTCCAAAATCTAGTAACGACCTCCAGGATAACTCTGCTTAGGAAATGCAGAGCATTCCCAGGAAAAGGAGCATGACTGTATCAGCACTGAAGAGGGATGTCACTGCAGGGGTTGCATTAAGGCACATTTCCTGCATCAGAGACTGACAACTATGGTTTCATTCCCCTCAGGGCCCCTGAACTTATGACATGTCTATGGCCATCTTTTCTCACCACATCTGTCCAGACTTGTTGATTACGTCCTCCTAGGCCAGGGTGAGGTCCTTCATGACAATCGTGATGGTTACATTTATTAATACTAAGTCCTGGGAGACGCGCTAAGAGTGTTACGTGTACTAAGTGGTTTTATTCTCACAATTACTCTATAAAGTAGGTACTATGATTATATTCACTTTATGGAT